CTAGTTGAAGGTGAGAAGCATAGAAGAATAGTTTTGTTGTACATTGATATAATGGTGGAAAAGGCTAGCGTACACTCGAGGTGTAATATGCACCTTCATTCATACCTATTATTTGTATGTTAATATATTTTGACAAATAAGAATCGGTGGTTATTATTTTTCATTAAATGAATCGTACGATTTGGATTAGAGAATTAGAGACCATGGTTCACTTATTAGAGAATATGGTATAGCATCATGTGCCAAACTTCGTTAATACATGGCCTAAATACCAACTCTATAGGAGTTCGGTAAGGTGGCGTACACGAGTTTAAACCATGTACAACTTATGAAGTTGACAATTGTTGGTCCAACCGGTGATGAAGTTACAGTGTTGTTTGACTTTATTGTTGATCATCATTAAAACATAGAGTAAATGTAGCGGCCATCATATCAGATAAGTCAGTGATAATAGGTAACAATAATAAATAATTATGAAAATTAGGAATCTGATATTATTGAAAAAAATAACAAATAATAGAAGGAAAAGTACAAACAGATAATACTCGCGTCCATTGGGCGGGCACAAAACTAGTTCTAATAATGGTTCAACGAAAAGAAAAAAAGAGATGTAGTATCAAACTACCAAGTCATCATCCGCCGGAGCAACAGCAGTATATTTCCGATGTAGGTTCGGGTTATTATGACAGCAGCGGCGGTGCGCAACGAGGACGACGCACACGACCTCAACGACCCACTCGATGTCACGCGGGATCCAGAAAATGGAAGTTTGCATCAAGACGGCCAACAAGACATCTCGCAAGCCGATGTCAGAGAGAGCATACCAGGACTTGATGTGAACGTACAACTGCGTCGTTACGGATATCAAGCAAAAAAACACGTCGTAGGTGTGGTCGTCGTCGCCGCCGCCGGCACTGCTAGGGGATAGATACTTTGCCAGCAGCGCCGCCAGCAGGGCAGCAATCTCCAGCGCGAATTTCCCGGCGGGTCCCACGGCCGCTGCCGCTGCTGCTGCTGAGTCATCATCGTGGTGCAGCTGGAACAAGCAGAGGATGGAGAGAAAACGCAGTATCGCGAGCAAGAAGGGGATCCACAAAGAGAGCGGCGGCCCAAACCTGGAGTCGGGATCGTTCAAAAACATGATTGCCATTGCGATCCACATAGCGGAGACTCCCCCCAGAAAACCCCAATACACCGTCGGGAGGTCTAGGTCTCCATCTCCTCCTGATCGATCAACTGGCAGAGGAGGAGGAAGACGAGAAGACATGTTTGCCATGCCAAACTTCCGAGGCCGCAGGACGCAGGTAACCAAAACCCTAAAAGGACGAGACACTATATTATTATATGAAGCGGTTTGGTTCCGGGGGAAAAGTAAAGATATACATCTTTTAGGATAAGAAATAGTAAAACTAATTAAATCAATACATAATTTCATACTAGTTTTTATCCGATTCATAAATCAATACATATACATAATTTCATACTAGTTTTTATCCGATTCATAAATCAATACATATACATAATTTCCCTCTCTCATTCTATATTTGTTGTGTTGTGCGCATAGTACGGAATGATACCTCCATACTTTTACTTAACATAACTGAATGAAGACAGATCATTCTATTAGGTGGGCTTGGCCGGTGTGTTTGTTGATTTTTGGGCTTCTTGAGATCTGGAGTGTGTGCAGGTAATGAAACGTTCTCCAGAACCCCCTCATATTCCACTTTTACACTATGTTTGGGAAGGGGTGCAAATGGAAGGGTGGGTGCAAGCTTGGGGGTAAACACAAGTTCCAAAGTGTTTACCCCTGTTTGGTTATTTTGTAACGGTAGTAGGGTGCAAAACATGAGTGCAAATTCACTATTTCGGGTTACCCCCAAATTGGGGTGCAAGAGAAGGAAGGCAGGGGGAGGGGGAGGGACTTATGGATTTTTAATTAGATTGTAATTACATAATAATTAATATTATTAATTTTTTCTTGTATATATCTATATTAATGTAGAAGTTGTTTGGGGTTGACCGTTTGACGCCGACAACAAGTTTGTCAATGTTCGTCTAGTAAAATTGATATCTCTTGGTTGACTCGAGTTTGCATTGAAAATTAGAGATAAGAAGCGTTTGTTGTAAAGATAGAGAGGAACGGTTTAGTTGACTCGATTTACTTTAATAAATAGTTAAAACTTACAGATTCGAACGTGTTTGACTAAGTTTGACCATATTTAATTTAAAATTAGGCACGAGAACCCCCTTAGGATAACCAGTTACGAGTTGGGTTTCGGATTTCGCGGTCGCTCGACCAATGATTATTATTGTTGTTATAAATAATTATTATTTGAGCATTATTATATAATAATAATTTTTATTAAAAATATAACTATCAATATTTATTATTATCATATATTGATTTTTATTATTTTGTAATAATATTTTTATAAATTTGATTAATCTATTTTATAATAATATGATTAATTACTTTTTACTCTATTTGCACCCCCTACTTTTTCATCCAAACAACAATTTACCCATCCACTTACACCCTTCACCAAGTTGCACCCTCCAATAATTTACCCCTCAACTTGCACCCCACTCAATTAGATAAAGACAAAACCTATTACTCTACTTAATTGACCATTGGCAGTATGATTAATAATTTCATTCAAGAAATCGCTAAATCTGGAACTAAACAACAGTGAGCCATAACTTGGGACGGAAATCATTCAATTGAAAAAGCAAACTTCTTCCCCACGATCTGGCTTCTAAATCACGGAAATCACATAACCAAACGTATGGAAAGAAGCCAGAATAATTGCTTGTTGATGACCAGTTGGAGGAGAGTGAGATGACGATGAGTCAGCTACATATTCAGGGCTCGTCTCTGGTTGCGATAAAACCAGTCTTTGTATCTCATATGAGACTGCAATAAGAGATAGAGGAAAGATCAACACTAACTCCCTAAAAAATTGATATACCTCAACTTCTACAAAGGAGAACAGAAGTAAAATTTTATGGAATCGAAAATCAAAAGCAAGATAAATGGATTCACCGAGTGAGAAACCAAGGATATATAGAGAGAGAAATTGGAGATAACGAGGATTTGGTACACCTCTTTGGGAAAGTTGATTTGGTAATTCGTTAATGTGCCCAATATACCCAACTCATTTTATAGGAGATATGTAATTGCAGGTTGATCTCCAAACTAACAATTGTTTACACAATTACACTTATATCCCACTTGTTACACCTCTTGCCTCTATTATGAAAGTATTTCCCAAATGAATAACGTTTTATTTGCCTCTTCGCGGTCAGCTGTGGGTCAGTGAGTGGTTCTTAGGTGGCAAAGTTTTGTACATGATTAGCTCTCATTTCCCTTTCTATAAACAGTGTTTGTGAAACTATGTAACAAAAAAACACTTGATATATTGATTTGTTTCAACAAAAATTTGAAAAATAAACTATCCATGATAATAGTAGTTAAATCATTATATCTAAAATATTTCTTTACATATAATTTACACAATTAGAGGTCAAGAATAGGATAGGTCAGAACAGATCCGATCGAGAACAATACTCATACCCGCCCAGTCCCGTATTATCTGTCCAAAACAGGTTGGTTAGAAGAGGTTAAGTAGAAATTGCGTCATCCATTGCCTATTTCACATTTGCTCATTTTAGTTATTCGCCCTCTACTGTTATGTCCGAGTTATTTATCCTCGTCTCTTGCTATGATTTTGAATGGTGGGATGCTTTTACTCGCTTTGAATGGGGAGGAACATGAGTAAGGAGTTATTTATGCCAATTTGACAATGTTTCTTATAGAGCCTCCAGCACGTGAGAAACCCCTTCCCATTTAATATCCTTTCATTTTTTTTGTCCAAACAATTCCTTTATTCTTTATGGATCCCAAATCCTCAACCTCACTCGCAGACAAAAAGTACCTCCCTTCCAAATTCCAATCCCAAAAATTAAACCTTCCTTTCTACCTTTTCTCTGCAGGCAGCGATTCTGCTGCATAAAGAAAAATCCCAATGCCAATCTACCCCATAGACAAACGACCCCTTCTCTATTCCTCCTTCAATCGTAACTTAGACTCCGTCCCTACTTCCTTCTTTGTCTTTCTCTGGGTTATTGCGGGCGGCAACAAAACCTACAAACTAGTCAGTGTTGGTTGCCACTGCTTGGCTGCTGCCGCTGCTTCTGATTGGCAACCGTCAAAGAAACTCAGGTATTTAAATCATTGTATTTGTTTTCATTTTATACTTTAACATTCAAAATTAGCAAGAACAGAGCTAGATAACTGGATAGGGTTACTTGATGGGTTTTGTCGTTTTGCTTGATGTGGATTGGAGTGCTTGATGTGGATAGCTAATTGGGTTGTTCTGGTCTTCTGGATGTTTACATCTTTTCCCATTCTGAAAGATGAAGAGTAAACAGAAAAGGGTTACAACATTTTTTCCAAGGAATGTGTTACAAAAAACAGATACCAGTTTAGAAGAAGACACAAATGATGCTTTCAACTCAAGAATGTGTTTGAGGAGTCTCCTCTTGTTATGGAGAAACAGAATGTGGTTGAGGATTCTCTTTTTGATTCTCTTTCAGATTTTCTAGAACGCGATCCTGGATTGCGTAAATCAATATGGACATATCCAGCTAATAGGCGTGACGAGATAAGAAGGGATTATTGGAGTGTTGGCCCTCATCAACTTGTACTTGCTAAGTTTCCTAAATCCGGGCTTCCTGGACATCTTCGACCTTTTCAAGGTTCATGGTACTCTGAATTCTCTTGGCTTGAATATTCAGAAGCGAAGGATGCTGCATATTGTCTTCCATGTTATCTTTTTACTAAAAAGCCAAATACTCAATTTGGTCGGGACACATTTGCAAATGAAGGCTTCCATAATTGGAAAAAGGTAAAAAGTGGGGTAGATTGTTCTTTCAGGAAGCATATTAGAGAAAGTCCAAATTCTCATCACAATAATGCTGTGAGGAACTGTCATGCTTTGATGCATCAACCTGGGCACATTGACAAAGTTATGAAGAAACAAACTTCTGAAGAGGTAAAGAAGAATATAACTCCAGTGAAGACCTCAATAGATGATGTTCGTTATCTGGCATTGCAAGGGGTTTCTTTTAGAGGTCGGGATGAGACTGCTGATTCAAAGAATCCTGGTAACTTTATTCAGTTGCTCGAATACACACGTTTTTATAATGAAGAAGTAAATAGTGTGGTGTTGGAGAATGCTCCGAAGAATGCAAAATACACATCTCATGAGATTCAGAAGCAAATCTTGCATGTTTTAGCTAGATCAGGAAGCAAATTTTTGAAGACATTGGAGATTCTAAATACTCAATCATTGTGGATGAGGCAAGTGATGAAAGTAGGCATGAACACATGGCCATCATTCTTCGCTTTGTTGATGCTAAAGGATTTATTCAAGAGCGGTTCCTCAATCTGGTTCATGTCAAAGACACGACATCAAAGACTTTGCACTCTGCTATTTGCTCAACTCTTGCTTCCTTTAAGTTTTCCCTTCATAATCTTCGTGGACAAGGATATGACGGTGCTAGTAACATGCGTGGTGAATGGAAAAGATTGCAAGCACTCTTTTTGAAAGATTTTCCTCAGGCGTATTATGTGCATTGTATGGCTCATCGTCTTCAACTATCTTTGGTTGCAGCATCTAGAGAAGTCGATAGGGTAAATGAGTTTTTCACAAAGTTACCGAGAGTTGTGACTGCTATTACTGGTTCCACAAAGCGCCTTGATGAGTTAGAAGAGTTTCAAGGAGATGATTATGCTCAAATCAGATTCGGAATGTACAACGAGCTTGTGATACTCGATGGAGTTCACATTTGAGTTATGTAGCTAGCCTTATCCATTTGTATGATCCAAGTTGTCGTGTTATGGAGAACATAAGCAATGATTGTGCTCACTACAAAACAAGGGGGATGCCAGTACAACTTTGAGAGCTATGGAATCATTCGAGTTCATATTCATTTTGCATATGATGAAGGAGATACTAAGCACCACAGAATTTGCAACGTAAATCTCAAGACATTGTACATGCAATGAGGGCGGTGGAGACTACTACAAAGTTGTTGAACCAAATGAAGAATGAAGATTGGGATTCTTTGTTAGCAAAAGTCAAACTGTTTTGTGAAAAACATGGTATCAATGTTCCCGATCTTAGTGCTCCACATTACGAAAGTCGACGACGACGAGATGGCATCACAAATGAGAACTTTTATCATTTTGATGTGTTCAATGCTGCTATTGATGTGCAGATAGAAGAAATACGAGCAAGGTTTGATGACAAAGTACTTGAACTTCTGAAGCTTAGCTCGAGTTTGGATTCTCGAGATGGTTATAAAGCTTTCAACATTGGTGCTATTTGTGATCTTGCTGAGAAGTACTACCCTCTTGATTTTTCAGAAAAGGACTTAGATGACTTGAAGTTTGAATTGAAGCATTTTCAAGTTGATGCTCCTACTCATCCTGAACTCCAAAATCTATCATCACTTGCTGAGTTGTGTCATGGTTTAGTAGTGACGGGAAAGTCAAAGGATTTTAATATTGTTGATAGGTTGATCCGTCTTATTTTGACTCTTCCCGTTTCAACTGCCACAAGAGAACGTGCATTTTCAGCTATGAAGATAGTGAAGAACAGGTTGCGGAACAAGATGAATGATGATTTTCTAGCTGATAACTTAGTTATCTTTATTGAGCGAGAGATTGCAGAAACTTTTAGTTTAGACGCTATTTGAGTGATTTCAATGATCTTAAGGAACGTCGTGTACTGTTAAAATACAATTGATATTTTATTTTAATTTTTTTTATTATCTTGCATTTTTGGCCCCCCCCCCCTATTTTCAAATGCTGGCTCCGTCCCTTGGTCGTATGCGACTCATTTCCTGAATTTAAGTGGGATTCTAGATGGACCCTTAAGGTGATTAGCAAACATATTCACGATACTGCTTCATTCTTTGGTTTTCTTTTTCTTCTGGTCTTTTACTGTGGTTTTGTATGAATGCTGTTGAGAGTAGAGGTGGCAATTGGATCGGATTCGTGGATTCGTGGATTGGATTGGTAGATCCATGGATCAAATGGATTGGATCCAATGGATTGGTGATTCATGGATTGGATCAAATGGATTGGTGGATTGATCCATGAATCCAAATGACATCCAACGCTTGGACCAAAATGTAAAATTTGAAAAGTTTTGGTACTAAAATGTCATAATGAAAAATTTTAGGTACCAAAATGTAATTTTCCAATGATATTTTTCGTATAAAATATCAATTTTAGGTACCAAAATGTAAAATATAAAAATATAGGTACCAAATCGTAATTTGCCATCTAGATCCATGGATTGATCCATGAATCTAGGGGTGGGCAACGGGACGGGACGGGATACCTGTCCCGTTTTAAACGGGTACCCAGTCCCATTTGGAGACCAAAGTCCATCCCATATCCCAAACCCATATGGGAAACGGGTACCCATTACCCGTACGGGACGGATAACGGGTACCCATACTACCCATAAATACCCAAAGTTTAAACCACTAAAATTTTAACAAAAGTTTAAACTTAACTTGTATTTGCTTAACAATCACAAGACACAAAATACATCCCAATCACAAATACTTGGTTTGCAAATTACACATTCATGAACAATCACAACACATAGAAATAAATCATTTCAAGTACCAAATTATCAAAAAAAAAGTTTCATTCAACACATCACAACCCTCTCTACTAATTCACCAAACATGTCAGTGAAAGAGTGAAAGGGTAAGGGCCCAAATGGAATTGAAATTGAAAGGGTAAGGGCCGAAATGGCCAATGGGTTTTGAATTGGGTTGGGCTGAATTAAATTTCTGCATTTGTATTGAATGGGTATAACGGGTACCCATATTACCCAAACGGGTATTCGCGGGTAACCCGCGGGTACCCATATTAGGAATGTACAATCCCAAGTCCCATCCGTTTATAATATTACGGGTAATATGGGTACCCGTAACCCTTAAAAAACGGGACGGGTACGGGTATACCCAAATACCCGTTTCCCGTTGCCCACCCCTAGGGGTGTTCAAATGGTTACCATGGTTATAACCAAACCAAATAAGGCTAAATTCCATTAACCATGGAATACAATATCATACCAAACCGTCCAAACTAAAGTTTAATCGGTTTGGTTAATTGGTTAACCAGAATAACCAATATAAAATCACATTATCATTGATGATGAAAATTTTCCGGTTAATGCAACAATTCGCAATTTATATAATGAACAAAACATAACAATCAACACGTAGTTATAGTTGACCCTTAACAAAAATACACGCAACTAAGACAATTATCTTACGATTAGTATAGAAATATTCACCTAACAAAAATTTATGACAATGGTATGGGTTAATGAATTGTTGTGTTTGTGTAAATTGATTTGGTCTCTTAGCAATTATCATAGGCGGGAAAACCTTCCTTTCAAGTTTTCATCCATCATAATGTATGAAGTTTATCTAAATTAGGCGTCCATATGTTGTGGTCTACACTTTACATATACAAATATATACTATATGAGCAATATTGAGCTTTATATTTTATATGAGTCTAAAAGGGATGAACGTTAAATTTTGAGTGGTTATGCAAAGTATTAAGTATGTGTATATAATATATGTTAGATATATGACTAATTAATTAACTGGTTAATTTGGTTTGACTGGTTAGGAGTGTGTGAAACCAAACCACATAAACCAAACAAGCTAAAAACTTTAACCAAACCAAACCAATTATCCAAATTAACCAAACCAAATTATCCAAATAGTACCGGTTAAAACGATTACCACGGTAACCAAACCGTTTGAACACCCCTACCCACCCCTACATGAATCCACCAATCCAATTGGATTGGATTTAAATGGATTGGATTAGGTGGATAATTTGGTGGATGGATTGGATTGGATTCATGGATTTGGATCCTAATTGCCACCTCTAGTTGAGAGCAATGGTGCTTCCAGATAGGTGCATTCAGCATGGATCACCTCAAAATCATATTCAAGAAGCGGGGCTTTCGTCGAAGCAAATTACTGCGACGGTGTTGTCGCTCTTGAGAAAGCCTAAGAAGCTCTGCATTTCAAGTGAAATGCAAAAATGGAATGATGGAATCAACGGGAGGTAGTGAATCTGTATTCTATTGCGTTATATCCAGAATAGTAGACTCACTTTTTGATAATATGAAGGATTAAAATACCGTATCGTACCGGCGGTTCTACCTGAAAACCCTCTTACTGAAAGCAAAACCGGTAGACGGTATTTAACGATAATACGATTGAACCATGGTTAAATCACGATTTTAGCAAAAAATCCCTACTGCTGATTTTTCCGGTACGACCTTCGCTAGGATATTTTAATCCTTGATATTAACTGATCTGTCCTCCCCCTCCAATTTTAGCCCAAGAAACTAGGATTATATGATTCTACCAATGGGCAAAAACTAAACTAAAATGAGATGCTTCTCGTCGCGTGAAACATTTGTTGTGGTCGAATAAATTGTGGACTGAAATGAAAATGCATTTTATTTATCTATAAGATATATGATGGAGATTCATGACTCAACTTTCTTCCATTTCAAATTTTCTGCAACGAGAGTGAAAGTAGGAAGGGTACTTTCGTCATTGCAATTGTTTATTTTTTTATTTGAAAAAAATATCAGTGTCAAGATTTGAACCCGGGTCTCTTCTAACAAGGACAAGAGTCATAACCAATAAGACTAAACAAATTTGTTGCATTTATTTATAAAAAAAACATACAAGAGGCAAAATTCTGAAAATCAAATGACTTTTCCAGCACAGTTAGCTACCCCACTAAGTCTTTCTTAAGCATTTTTAGTGTTGGATCTTTGATTATCATTTATTATTATTTTATTTTGACTTCAATAATAATGGTAGTCTATCTTATAAATGGAGGATAATCTTAAAACCGCAATCCAAATATCATTTATTCGAATATTGCATATCAAATTACAATATTAAATATATATGTGCACACACAACCACATATATATGGGTCAGACTGGTGTACTCCTGGAGTATATTATACTTCAGGTACTCTTCGTGAGATATCTCTATCTAGACCATGATTTTTAACCGAGTTTGGGGTATGATACTCTACCCTAACCTCTAATGGATAAACCACAGGCCCCGATTCTCTAAACTCAAACCCAAAGTTTAATTTAATGGAAAATTATAATTGACCATTGAGATTGATTGGAGCTCAACAAAGTACATCTAATGTCTAGATCATGTGGAGTATACTATACTCTTGGAATATAACAGTATACTATACTCCTGTAGTATACCAGTATGTGTGTGTGTGTAGTGTTTTCTATCATATTTTGAGTAAAATCAAAAGGTAACTCATACCCTTGGTAAGAAATGGCAATCTAGACTTTGAATTAACCTGATTTCGAGACGAGACACTATATTCTAACCCTTGACGAGTGAACTCTAGGTCTTAACTATTTAAATCATAGATCCTAAACCAAGGATTATAAAACCTCATCAGAGGTTGTACCGAAAAAGTCGGCAGGAGGGTATTTTATGCGAAAACTGTGGTTAACCGTGATTCAGTCGTTTCACAACACTACATAGTGCCTACTGGTTTAGTCGAACCCCCGGTACGTTAAGGGTTTTCAATCCTTGCCCTAAACACTAAGATTATGCACATAATTTTTTTGATGTATTTTGATGAAACACGACCTTCGATTATTGTTTCTAATAAAATTGATCTTAGTATATGAGCTTCATAGAATTAAGACCTAGATTTTAATCTGTAAGGGCTTAAGGTATAGTACCATGTCCCTAGCTCCGGCCACTAGACATCACTTTCATACTCAGAGTATATCATTCAAGGTCTATATATCATTTCCTTATGTCATTTTCTTAATCAAAATATGATAGAACCACCCATACTTATAGTTGTGTTATCCTGCTGGAAAGTCATTTGTTCTAAATGTTAGTTGGTTGGACTGCAGTTTTATCAGGGTTGTATGTTGTTTGAAACATTTTGAACTTCATTAGTCCAATATTTTTAGTACTCCTATATTATTTAGGGATAATATCCTATTTTGTGTTGAATTTTGATGTAAATAACAATTTTGGCATGAACATTCAAATAAGATAGTTTTGTCCGAATTTGAAAGAAATTAACAAATTTGACCCGAAATTTGGGTCGGTTATTAATATTGAGGGTCAAACATTTCTTTTTTTTATGACTCAACATACAATGTTAAGGTGACTGTGGTGTGACTTTCACGTCATAGGTATAATATGCTATTTTGCCCTACACTTTCAAATAAGACAGTTTTGTACGAATTTTCAAAGAAATGAATAACTTTGACCCAAAATTTAGGTTGCCGTTAATATTGATGAGAGGGGTACAAAGAGAGATAGTTTCGTGCTTTGGGATTTTTGGGGGCCTGAATCAATTTCTTTTTCCTTTTAATATGATTTATGCAAGTAAATATGAAAATATTAGGATATACTAAGGGTCCTATTTTGTGGTCTTTTTTTCTTCTGAAAAATTCACTTTTTTAGACTTTATAAATAAATGACTTGGAAGCCACATCGCAACCGAAACCTCTCTATCACAACTGTCAATATTAAAGGTCAACCCAAATTTCGGACCAAATTTGTTCATTTCTTTCAAAGTGCAAACAAACCTATCTTATTTGAAAATTCGAGCCAAAATTGTCTTTTACATCAAGTTCATGCCAAAATAAGGTATCATCCCTATGACATGGAAGCCACATCGCAATCGCAACCACCTGAGCATTGTATGTTGAATGGATGAAGAAATTTTTAACTTTTAATATTAACGAACAACATAAATTTCAGTCCAAATTTGTCCATTTCTTTCAAAATTTTGAAAAACTGTCTTATTTGCAAGTTCATGTCAAGTTTGGCTTTTACGACAAACTTCAAGGTCAAAATAAGGTATATCCCTATTATTTATGGTCAACTTACCAATCAAAGTAGTCAGTGAAAGTATCAGCAACATTGACAAAGACAAACATATGTAATTCAAAATTAGTTGCACTCAGCCTTAAGTTTGAAGCTCTCTTGAGAACCCGGACTATTTTCTAGGCATCTTCGGGGACTACGACTAGCATGCTTCCAAACCAGCTGATCCTTATTCTACTTTCTATGAAGAGGAATAATATGGGTGTATCTGTTAGACATTAATCAGGGTTACAAATGATCTCATTCCTAAAATCTGTTAGAGACCAATCTTTTTCTTTCCTTCTGAGGGTTCATTATGTATGTTTTAGGAAAAACAACTCTAATCTTGAACTATTTGCCATTTTTAAGTATTGAAAACCTATTATTTTGTATGTTTTTCTTTTCTTCTTTGAACAATTATATTTCTTTTTTCAGTGATATGTCGTATCTTCCTATTATATTGTAAGCATGTTATATGAACATATTTTTTGTCTAGACTTTCCCGGCCAAGGGGCCGGGCCCGGTGCTAGTACTATATTGGTTGTGATGGCCCAGTAAGAAAAGCCCACTCATATCACCTAGTCAACGGGGGAATACGAACAACAAACAAAACATTATTCTAGTCAACTGAACAACCTCTCTTTCAATTTCTCAAACGTGAACCCCTCTACCTCTCTCGGGCTCCAGCGTCCCCTTCATTTGCAGGCCTCGGCCCATTATTATTGTTGTTATCAGCATCGTTGTCATTGCCGTCTCCGACCGCCGGCGGTGGAACAGAGAACTCCTTCACCATTCCCTCAAAATAGAACTTGAACGCACCAAGGAAAAGGCAGGATGCGACGATAGCGAATAGGCCATAGGGAGGCAGATTCTTCCTTATCTTGATGCCATATACCACCAGGGCCGTAAGGAGGCCGTTTATGACGTTCAAATCAGAGGAAGGCCTCAATACAAGGATGTGCGCCGTCGCCAGAAAGATGAGGAGAAGCAACATCATTGGAAAAGCAAACTCAGCCTCAGGAAGAACATTATACCAACCATTGCACAAAATCAGCAAAGGCAAACCTAGCATCTTCACTGGCCATGGGAAATCAAGCTGGAGCCAGGTGGCTTTCAGCCTCCAGCGGTGGATCTTCTTGAAGTAAATAACCAACCAGATGAAGAACACACATGCAAGAACAGCCCATCCCCAAAGCCACTTTCCCCCCTTAAATTTCTTCTGATAGAAGTTGGTGCCGTTGAAGGCTAAGATGTGGAGGATGAACATTAGGATGCATACCAGGAACCAGAATGCCGAGTCCGACACCTTGAGAAACACGAATCGGAACGGGACGCCTCCGAGCCGGTTGAGCCTGCGGTGAAGCGGAGGACGGGCAGGAGGATCAACGGGATCAGCATTAGGAATCTGAAACGTTGGCTTGAAAGTTGCATATCTTTTGAGTATGCCCAGAAATTTCCTCCAAACCGGAACAAGAGGACGATTGGGGAAGATTGTCGTCAAAATTCTCCTCCAAAATGGGACAGCGGGACGATTCGGATGAATGGCTATGCGAGGAGGAGGAGGAGGAGGATTGGCATCCAGGGAACGCATTGGGGAACCTCGGCTGCTCATGGTTTCGAAATTGGAAATTGAAGAGGGTAATGCGTAGCAGAGTAGTGTGGAGTGGAGTGGAGGGCTCGCAGCTTGGCCTCTGTCTGTTTTATAGAGTGAATGAAGCAGAGAGTGAAAACTTGGAGAGCAATCCAATAATCATTGCACAGCTGTAAGATAACGGTTGGGTGAAGGAGGGAATTTGTTTTTGGGTGAATGTGCGCAGGTTTACGGTTACAGGGGTCTCGAAATTCTCCTAGCTCCCACATGGTTTGATTGATCTGCCAATTGCAAAAATAACACTCTGTTTGGGGGGAATTGGTGTAGCAGAAAGAAGAAGAGGAGGAAGAGAAGAGAAGAGAAGAGAAGAGAAGAGAAGAGAAGAGAAGAGCTGAAATCATATCCCCTACCCAAACAATGGGTTACCCACGTGGAGAAGGGGCTCTGATACTGATAGTGGGGGAAGGAAATCGGATTCCTGGGGGAAGTGAAGAGAAGAAGACGAAGGCACATGAGAGGGGAATTTAAGCTCTGCAAAGAAGAAGATGGTATTGACCTAATGGACCTGGATGAGATGGGCTTAAACCCAAAACAAACCCACAGGCCTTGAAGAGTATTAGCTTTAGTTATGGAAATTGGAAGGAATTACAGTATGTGGGTTATATGTTTGGTCGTTATTTATTAATTTATTTCACATTTCTTGCTAGTCATTGTCTATAAACCTCAATTAAAACGAATCGAATGTCGAACGAGTTTTTTCTCGAGTCGCACACCGAGCCGTTCATGAGCGGCTTGGTTCATTAACAGCCCTATCATTGAGCATTGGCCTTCCAATTCCATAAAATCCATTGAATGTGATAATCAATTTTATAATTTAACCGTTAATATCCTAGGTCCATAGTATCGGACGATGGGCATTGGCCTTCCAATTTATTTTTGCAAAGTTCAGACGAAGATACTAGTATAATTAAATGAGTAAAATGATGATGGATTGTGAATTTGACACTCAATAACAACTATGAACCCTATAACTCGAGCGGAGATCTGGGGTGCTCTTCGTGAACTGCAAATGGCGTGGGACTCGGGTCACAGAAGAGTCAAGCTACAGCTAGACTCTACCACGACCATCACTCTCCTATCGCCAGGCTCGCCAACCAACCACCAGCATGCTAACCTAATCATCCAATTCAGGGAGCTCCTGGAAAGGGATTGGGAGGTGGTCATACGTCACATATATAGGGAGGCTAATTTTTTAGCCGACTGTCTTGCGCATAAGGGTCACCTGTTAGACCCTGGAACTTTCTGTGTTACCTGTATGGATCCGGATGTCGAACGTTGGCTCCTATATGACTCGGTTGGCGGTTTTGTAGTCCGCGAGGTTAATTAATTGAGGTTGTGGTGCTTGCACCTTTTTCACAAAAAAAAAAAAAAAAAAAAACTAGGAACCCTATAACACTCTGTAACGGTAGCCAATTTTGCAATGACATCCATTTTGGAATGCAAGGAAGAAATTCTTGTGCACTTTAAACAAACGTACCAAAAAACACATCCCCTAGTTGCTAGCTCATGAAAATTTCCTGCCATAGCCAAAGAAACAAACATATACCAAGAATTCCGCCATCGAATGGATAATAGAAAATGCAAGTAAAGAAACAGACCGCTCCCCTCTCCGATACTCCTGATCAAATATTGTTCCCATCATCAAAACTCCATCCATAAACCTCCGAGGAACTCGAAACAACAAAATAACACCAAACTAACGATTGCGCATTACATATGAAACCTTCGGAGATCAGAGAAATTCGCCGCCACCTTTTCTCTCCTCCCTTATCCCTCGTACTCTTCGGGCTCCTCCTCGTACTCCCCTTCATCATCTGCAGTCGCATCCTGGTACTGCTGGTACTCTGCTACCAGATCATTCATGTTGCTCTCTGCCTCGGTGAACTCCATCTCGTCCATCCCTTCCCCGGTGTACCAATGCAAGAAGGCCTTCCTCCTAAACATAGCTGTGAACTGCTCGCTCACCCTCCTGAACATCTCCTGGATGGAAGTCGAGTTCCCGACGAAAGTGGAGGCCATCTTCAGCCCCCTTGGTGGGATGTCGCACACAGATGACTTCACGTTGTTTGGGATCCACTCAACAAAGTAGGACGAGTTCTTGTTCTGGACGTTGATCATCTGCTCATCAACTTCCTTCGTGCTCATCTTGCCACGGAACATGGCTGAAGCAGTCAGGTATCGGCCGTGGCGGGGGTCAGCAGCGCACATCATGTTCTTGGCGTCCCACATTTGCTGAGTCAGCTCAGGGACGGTGAGGGAGATGTACTGCTGGGATCCACGGGAGGTGAGAGGGGCAAATCCGACCATGAAGAAGTGGAGGCGGGGGAATGGGATGAGGTTCACAGCAAGTTTCCTGAGGTCGGAGTTGAGCTGACCGGGGAAACGGAGGCAGCATGTTACTCCGCTCATGGTTGCTGAGATCAAGTGGTTCAAGTCTCCAACTGCAATATCAAAAGTCAGTGTTAGTTCATTTTAGAACATACAGCACTGATGAGTGACGATACTAAAACTTACAGCTTGGAGTGCTGAGCTTGAGAGTACGGAAGCATATGTCGTAAAGTGCTTCATTGTCAAGGACCATGCATTCGTCAGCATTTTCAACCAACTGATGGACAGAGAGGGTTGCGTTGTAGGGCTCCACGACGGTATCTGAGACCTTGGGTGACGGGAAGACCGAGAATGTGAGCATCATCCTGTCAGGATACTCCTCTCTGATCTTAGAGATCAGAAGGGTTCCCATGCCAGAACCTGTGCCTCCTCCAAGTGAATGGCATACCTGAAAGCCTGGTAAAGAAAATAAGTTAGTCTATTTATTACCATAGACAGCATATAAGCCTAAAGTCCAGTAGTTAGGATTGGACAAGTGAATGGAATGCCAAATCAGCCATTAACATCGAAACATAAGCATCAGAATCTTAGATCCAAAAGCAATGGACCACCAAGATAAAAGCAATGTACTAAAGTCATAATCAACAAACCAGGGACAATGACAGATGTTACTTTACTTCTACAGAATAATGAGAACCCAGATCTATCCTATGATGATCCATTCCTACTTTTCTCCTGTAACAGCATGCTAAAAGGTGAAAAGAGGTAATAGATGCGAGTGGATGGTGTTGTTGGAATTGGGCAATCCCCCGCAATCATGCAGCGGTGAAACTTAGACATTATCATAAATTTCATCTCTAGATCTGTTCAAAGCAACTCTAGTTATGTAGTTTGGAGAGAGACCACAAAAAAGAATCTCCACGCCAGACAAAACATCAATGGTGGGGGCCATGCTCATATAGCTCACGTCCTCTATGAAGAAAAGTTCTGGCTAAAGAACAAACAATCAAGAAAAGGAATAACATGGAGCAGGGGAACCAGCAATTAACTTAATCATTCAAAGAGAGCAAAATGACAGATTCACGAGAAAAAAAGGAGATATGAATGCCCTGTATGCTTGTTCGATTGCTGCAGCTTCCTTAGTCGCAAGCTCATGATTCACAGCATGAAAGATTCAACAAGGGTGGTGCTCTCAATTTCGCTAAGCAGTTCAAACGAAAACAAAAATTGTCTAACGAGATCCTATACTAGCAAGCCATTAAGATGGAATCAAGAACTAGGAATGAAATTCGCGTTAATCCATCCATCCAAACACAATGAACTTCATCCAATCAACACCATTCATAGCTATCCAAGAATTAAAATTCAGTAACTGTGGCGAATCTCCGCTCTACAGTTCGCAGACCTCAAACAAATCAATCCAAGTTAATGAAATTCGCATTCATTCATTCATTCATTCATCCAGAAAAGAAACTCAAACGCCAGAACAGATCTGAGAAATGAGGGTAAAAATCAGAGGTCATTTCGTCATATACCTTGCAAGCAATCACAGTTCTCAGCCTCCTTGCGAACGACATCGAGGACGGAATCGATGAGCTCGGCTCCCTCCGTGTAATGACCTTTGGCCCAGTTGTTCCCGGCGCCGGACTGCCCGAAGACGAAGTTATCGGGGCGGAAGATCTGGCCGTAAGGACCAGATCTGATGCTGTCCATGGTTCCAGGCTCCAGATCCATGAGCACGGCGCGAGGGACGTAGCGGCCGCCGGACGCCTCATTGTAGTAGACATTGATCCTCTCGAGCTGGAGATCCGAGGCCTCGTCGCCGTTGTACCTCCCGGTCGGGTCGACGCCGTGCTCGTCGCAGATGACCTCCCAGAACTTGGAGCCGATTTGGTTGCCGCACTGGCCGCCCTGGATGTGCAGGATTTCTCTCATTGTCGGATCTTAGGGTTTGGAGGATAAGACAGCAGGCAGACGAACGGAACAAATGGCTGGGCCTAAGACGGTGGCCGGAGGATAAGGAGGTTGTTTGTATTAAAAACGAAAAGGGAGGGAGCGGGGAAGAGAGAGAGGGAACCAAAGTGTGAATATATAGTAAGAAGGCTTTTTTGGGAGAGACGGATCGTTTTTTTGGAAGGTATGGTGTCGCCAACGAAGCAGAGGGGAGAAGGGTGAAAACCGGTGGGGAATGGTAAAATAAAACGGTGGAAAAAATGGGGGAACGGGGCGGGATATTTTTTAGACGTTAAGTTAAGGTAACGGCGGTAGAAGGAAGTTAAGACTTAAGAGAGGGGGAGTTTTTGGGCGGGTCGTTAAGTGAAAGGAAGTTGAAGGGAGGGTGCGGTTAATGAACGTGGGCTTCCGATTTGGACGGGAACTTGTTTCTGTAGTAGTTGGGCTTTAGGATCTAAAAATTGCAGGGAGACGGTGTTGGAAAAACACGCCCACCGAGGGGCTCGAACCCACGACCACAAGGTTAAGAGCCTTGCGCTCTACCAACTGAGCTAGACGGGCTTGTTGTCTCAGTCTCATTAACACAATAATACATCAATAATAACAAGAATCACAAGCTGGCAATGCCAAAAGTTGTAAAACATGCTAGACAATCACTGTGATGGGTACCTTTCGTTGGTTCTTAGTGGACAAGCTAGGAGTCTGTCAATTCTAACTTCCACAAGTCAAATTTGGCAATGGGTTGGCTGATCATCTAACCGTGCCCAAAGTGAAAGTTCTTGTTGACAATGGAGCACAAATGCTCCACTATAGTTTGGTCAGATTGTGTGACACTCGTCGCAATGGTGAATGGTTATCTTTCCCCTCGCACTTTAGGAGCTCGCCCTTTAGGAGTTACTCGACATGGATTGAATCAATTGTTCAACTTCTTCCTACTTACAATAACAGTGTTAAGCTAAAGATTCGTTCCTCAACATGCCAATGCTAGAAAACAAGTGGCCAATTGCTCAACTTCTTTTCTACTGATAATGAGAGGGCATAAACAAGAGTATATATACATCCATCATCGGGCAACCACATTCACAGTCGGAACTCCGACGCTTATATTTCTCAGTTGAGCCAAGTGGAGATCACCCAAAAGTTGAGAGTATTCAAGCATTTTGATAGCATCTTTGCAGGCAGGGCGGCAGCCGGCAGCCAAGCAAATCTAACCCAACCACAAAAGGCAGTTACAAAACCGCTTTCCATTACTTCCTGGATCCACTAATTACAACAAAATAACAAGGATTTGACAACAGTGTAATCCATAAGGGTACTACAATCAAGCTACTTGGATTCATTGGCAGTGACTGGCCAACAAATATAAACTATCGGAGCAGAACTTCAATCATTCTACTGCTGCTGTGATTCATTGCAATATCTCTTGAAATTTAGGCATTCGTCGAACAAAAACTCGCTGAAAAGAAGGGTATTTTTTATTAGCAGAAGGGCATGAGTGAACAAACTGACTAATGGCTAAATTGGGTTTGCAAAGAGAAGAAAATGAGAAAAAAGAAACAAAGATTGGGGAAGGATAAAGGTAAGACTCACTGGATCTTCTCTGCCATCAGCATTACTTCCCATCTTGGGCTCCATGGATATTCATTCATAATAGCTGACTTGACTGGCATGTCTCTTGGATTAACATGCTATTGACAGCAGTAGATCTTTAATTAGTATCCAGGAGTTACAAGTGATACTTTCCACCAATATGGATTGCATGTGAATAAAGATGGAAAGAATAAGGGTAAGAGACAACTAGCTATATTGTTACGTAACTCAGCAACAATATTACCTGAGTACTTTGAAGCATCAGAGATGGAGGCTGTTTTGGAAACTGAGTTGAAATGGAAACATGCACCTGTAATAGCAATATTCAAGATTTTAGTACACTTGAGCCACAAGCTCGTTGTAGCATATGAAACAGTAACTATGGTAATATTGCACCAATGCCATGACAGTGTGTAAGTTCAAACCATGTTCAGATTTTTAAGTGACGCCAAAGGGAGAGAAAGAAGGGAGAAATAAAACCGAAACCATAGGGTACCAGGAATGTAAATGGTCCAGAGTTGGCAAGAAAAGTAGCCTTTCTGCAGAAAACCTGGCAAGCAAGAGAAAAAGTAGCGGTATATCACCATCATGCTCAACTAGTTAAGGGAATGTTCAAAATAAAAATAAAAACCTTACCGGGTCAGCCTCTAGTGGCCTGCCAAACAAGGGCGCCAAAGCCTCAATAAAATGCCTCCTAACATCAATTAGAGAAACTGCCTCCAAGACCTGGACAACCCAACAGAAGCATTAGAGTGAAAACAGGGGGCATGCAAAATTATTATCTAGACGAAGGGGATCAGCCAACCTGTTTCTGAAGAAGTTCCTCTAGATGGGGCAGATATTCAGCCAAACACCTTGAGAAATAGACAGAGAGGTGATTTTATCAGCAAAAATATTTATTCCAACCACAGGAAGAAAACCAGATCGAAACTACAACATCAGACACTTAATAGAAAAGCAAGAAACATCTTTACATACATCCCATCCACCCAAGAAGGGAGCTTAATCTCATCGACAGGAAATAGAGCTTTAAGTTCTGCGGAGCTCATTAATTTTAGGCGAGGTGCTGAAGGTGCAGAAAGATACTTTCTCCCAACTGGATATACAACCTGAAAGGAAGAAAAATATCAATTTAACTACAATGAACTGATAGCATAGTTAACTAGGAAATAAATGGAAACTTCACAGATACAATGGAATTATAAGAACCTGCAAGTATATCTTTTGTTGGTGTCTCCAAGGACAGGCAAGCACCATCTTGTTTATGTTCATGTCCATTAAAGGCACTGCAAATTTCACCTCTTCTGGCTACACCAAAATTCAAAGGATAAGAACCAAAAATATGCACTAAATTGTGGTCAATGCTAAAATGAAGACGTAGTAAACTAAAAGGATTTATGTTCAGAGTACCTTATCAGTTCCAGAACTCATGTGCATTTCAATTCCCTGAAGTACAAAGATGAAGGATCAGTAAGACGACGAATAGATATAAGGCTGTGCGTAGTTGAAACTTGAAAGGCATACAGAAAGAGATATTTCAGCCTTACCTCCCTAGATATGATGGTGCTAATCTCAAACTTCAATCGATCATCATCCACTCTTTCAACAAGATTGGTCTGGTACTTGACGTATTTCCTTCTGTAAATGAATTAAGAATCGCCACAATCAACTGATGCTTAGCCAAAAAAAAGAAAAAAACTGGGCACCCAGATGAAGAATATCACCAAGTAAAATAACAACCTCAGTTCCTCGATCAAATTGAACAAGCATGTTGGGTCTTTGAAGTTCCAGTTACACAAAATACCCTGGAGAAGCTTCGTGTCTGCATGTAAGGGGTGGAAATCCTCGTCTTCAGCTGCAAATATAACGTCTGGTGGTGCCATGGGTAATTCTGCATTGTACACCACGTCCCCTACACCAAACCAGCTATACACAAGTGAACCCACAAAGAAAAATCAAGGACCACAGTGAAACAAGCCGTTGAAGATTATAGCGACACTAACATCTGATGAAGTCTAGGCAGTACGGAATCACCAATGTGAACCGATCAAAAGCTCCTGGGAAATACTTAGTCCCAGACCAAACTTGCTCGACCTACAAACAGAAGCGAAGGTGAGCTGCCAATGCGCAATCTCAGCAGCTGAATTAGAACAGAGCAAATAACCCTAGCTAAGGTTTGAACAACACACAGCCAATGTAAATTGTGAATTACATGATCGAAATTCAAATCTATTGCGACTTTGAGAAATTCTCTTATATCCAATTCAATGAACCGGGCAGTATAGAGCTAAATTGAAAGGACAAAGTTCAAGAGCTGAAATGAAAATCGTGAAATCCTCGAATAGGGACGTTTCGGAGTAAGTTTTCTCGCGAACCAAACAGATAGCGAGGTAAGGGATTCGAGAGAACGACGATTACCTTGATCAGGTGAGACGAGTGATTGAGGAGATACTGAAGCTGAGAGGAAATTAAAGGCGGGAAACCGTCATACGGCATCGTCGTCGAAGAGTGGCGAACTGATTGTCCGATCGACGGGTGATGGTCGATACTTGTCGCCGGCGATTTGAAGCACTAGATAGCTAAAGCAGGACGAGAATATTTAGAGGCGAGAGAAGTCGTCGACGCGTTGAGAATGTTTTTAGTGTTTAGGAAGCTACGGTGTCGTTTGAAAGCATAAAGTTATGAGATTTCCCAGGCGGCTAGGGGTGGGCATGGGCGGGTTTAGGGATGGCAATTTGAACCCGCCCCGTCGGGTATTATCCGACTTGATCCTCGATGGGCGGGTATTACTCGACCCGCAGTAGTGCGGGCGAGGTATGGGTATCAACTTTCGACCCGCCCTGACCCGCCTCGCCCCATTCTTGACCCGTTCTAGGTCAAGTTCTTACTCCATCCATTCATATATCTCCTATTTTGGCTTTTCTTCAACTAGTTAGACTTGATCTTTCAACTAAATAGACTCAGTTACCCATTATATTATCACTATTATTCATTCATAAAGTCTTTTCCCTTTTGTTTTATCATTAAAAGTAAAATTTAGTGTGTATTTTTCTCAAATAGCATGTAAGAGTGGGTCGACCCACCCCGCCCCGTACCCGCACGGGTATTACCCGCCCCAACCCATACTAACGCGGGACGGGCATGGGTATTGAGGTACCCGCCCCGCCCCGACCCATTGCCATCACTAGACGGGTTGAGTGGGTTTTGATCTCAAATTGACCCACCCGCTTACTAGCGAATTGGAATTATTCCGACTCGCAATCTACTCATATACTTCTGTGGGTTGGATTGGGTGGGTGGCGGATGGCTTCGGTTGGATCGCGGGTCAATCCGCAAAAGCAATTCTCCAACTAGCCATTAAGAAAGTTTATTAACATTTATAATAAGTTCATAGCAAATTAGTAAGATTGTATCAATAATTTATGATTTTTATACAATTAATAATTTATACTTTGCATCCCAATATTTAATGGATATTAACAATAATTTGCATACCAATATTCAATATCTACTGGTTATTGCACAACACAATGACCAATAATAGTAGTCAAAACTATTTTTTGTACTCCACCTTTTGAAGTATATGATTAGACTGTAGTGCAATTCAAAAATATGATGAATATTCTATACTACAGGAAACAACATTTTTCATATAAAAATAGGATGCGGGTCATATGGGTGACTCGCAATCCACCCACCACCCACCCACATAAGTGCGGGTGCGAATCCACCAACATCAATCACCCACTGCGTGCGGGTCGGGTTATTTGCGGGTGGATCGATATCAATCCGCGGATTAACCACCCACGTGCTCACCCCTACAGATGGCGTTTGGACACCAGTACACCACATATTCGATTACCCCTCACGTGGCCATTGCCCTCCCATTAGGGTATTTAGGGGTATGCAAGGGTTTGATCCAGTCATACGAGACAATCTAGATAAAGAATGAGCCATCTAATATGCAATAGCATATGCAAATTTCTTCAGTCTTGACTTGAGGGCTCATTCTCATAATAAATATCATCATATTGACCCTTGCTGCACATCGCCAAGGTCACCTAGTTGGGATATCCTTGATCGAAACAAGGACCTAACAATTAAACTTGATCACAAACTCAAATTCATATTCTTAAGCCAACTTGATTCCTTTCGAAAGGGCATTTGCTCCAATCACAAATAGAGTAGAACAAAGAATTGTTTGTCCGCCCATCACAAACTTGTCCATGATTGTTTATGGTCACAACTCACAACACCATATGTTGTCATCTGGGAGTCACTTATAAATGACCCAAACACAAGTGAATTACCATCAAATGATTACTCGATAGTGGAAAAGTATGAGTACGGGCTCCCTAGGCTGAGAAATAGGGATTAAAGGCAGAGACATGTAATTCATGCATGCCACTCAAGAAATTCCCAGGAGGAGTTACACAGGTTGTATGAGACCACGATAGGTGGTTCTTGAATACACATTCATTCCTAGCCTTCCAGGATTCCAACACAGTAAATCAACTTGAAGGATGCATTGGGGTTGGAGATAATCCTTCATTGAGCAGAACTAATCAGATAAAGAGGCAGATTGGGAGGAGATGAGAATATAACATCCACTTGCTCATAGCATGAGGCAACTAGAGAGGCCATGGATAAGGGACTCGTATGGGTGTTGGAATAGAGAGTAAGTCAATCATTTACGGCAATGGAGTCTAGACTTTATGGATAAACCATTCTTCAAGCACCTCCAAATGAAGAACTTGACTTTGGTAGTACGTGCATACTCAAAATCCACTTCCTCTTATTCACTCCAACTGTTGTCTTTTAAAGACTTTTGAACCTGGATATAAATGAGCACTAGCGGAAGCAAACCCAATATGAAATCGAACAAGAAAACAGAGAAGAGAATGAACAAAGACAAGACACCAATTTTACGTGGAAAACCCTCCAAAGAAGAGGGAGAAAAACCACGGGCTGGACAAGCCAGTAAATCCACTATGATCAAGGAATAATCTTCAACGTACAAAGTTGTGGAGTAAGTAGAAAACTCCCAACATAAAAGAAAAGTACTCAAGAAGATATTCTACACTTTAGGAGAAGAAAGGAGTTGGATGGAATTGGTGTGTCTATTCAACAACAATAGACTCTCTATTTATAGCCATGCAAAATGGCTTATGAGATGCCAAAGAAAAAGTGAACGGCACTCCCATTAACCAAATGGAAACTCCACACAATTAACTCCATGTGGTCATTAACTTTCATAACCCCAAGTAACCTCAAGTGTCTTCCATAACTCCAAGTCTTGAATTAATTTGAGGCATCAATACCAACAATCTCCACCTTGAATCAAATTTAGAAAGACTTGTCCAGAAACCTCTGAGAGGTAATTAAGCTCTTCGAATTCCAACTAAGTTCAAACAACGATCAAACTTAGTTGAAGGAAGAACTTTAGTGAGCATATCTGCAGGATTGTTGTCAGTATGAACTTTCTTCACACTAATATCACCTGCAACCATAACATCTCGGACAAAGTGGTACTTGACTTCTATATGTTTTGTCTTCGCATGATACATGTCATTTTTAGTCAAGTGAATGGCACTTTGACTATCCGAAAATACGGTTGAAACAGTTTGTTCAACTCCAAGCTCAATAACTAGGCCACGTAACCAAATAGCCTCTTTAACCCCCTCAGAAATAGCAACATACTCTGCTTCTGTAGTTGACAAAGCAGTTACGGGTTGCAAACAAGATTTCCAGCTAACACATGAATTGCAGAGAGTGAAAACATATCCGGAAAGGGACTTCCGTTTATCTAAGTCACCTGCAAAATCAGAATCTGTGAAGCCTATAATATTGTTGGAAGGATTTTCACTCCTCTCAAACAATAGACCCATATCACGGGTTCCCTTCAAATACCGAAGTATCCACTTCACAGCATTCCAATGTTCTTTTCCTGGATTTTGCATATACCTGCTGACAACACTTACTGCATATGCAAGATCGGGTCTTGTGCAGACCATAGCATACATCAAACTACCAACTGCACTCGAATATGGAACGCTAGACATATAATCCACTTCTTCATTTGTTGTTGGACAATAAGCAGCAGATAACTTGAAATGAGCAGCGAGAGGAGTAGAAGTGGGCTTACAATCAATCATTCCGAACCTTTCAAGTACCTTATCAATGTACTTTCTTTGGTTCAAAAATAATTTACCAGCTTGTCGATCTCTTTGGATCTCCATACCTAAAATCCTCTTTGCTGCTCCAAGGTCCTTCATCTCAAATTCTCCTTTTAGTTGTGACTTTAACCTTTCGACCAACATTCTGTTTTTAGAAGCAATAAGCATGTCATCAACATAAAGAAGTAGATAAATGTAGGAGCCCTCGGGAAATTTTTGGAAGTATACACAATTATCAAATTGACTTCGTGTATAACCATTTCCAATCATAAAAGTATCAAAACGCTTATACCATTGTCTAGGAGCTTGCTTGAGACCATATAATGATTTTCTCAAGCGACAAACCATATGCTCCTTTCCTGGAATCACAAAGCCTTCTGGTTTCTTCATGTATATCTCCTCCTCGAGATCACCATGAAGGAAAGCAGTTTTCACATCAAGTTGCTCTAACTCCAAATCAAAGAGAGCAACAAAAGAGAGCAAAATTCTTATGGAAGTGTGACGCACAACAGGAGAAAAGATTTCATTGAAATCAATACCTTCACGTTGGTTGCAGCCGCGAACAACCAACCGCGCCCTCCATCTTGCCTCTTCAATACCGGGAATTCCTTCTTTCTTTTTGTATATCCACTTATTTGAAAGTGCTTTCTTCCCCGTAGGAAGGATACATAATTCCCATGTATTATTCTTCAACAAACTTTCGTTTTCTTCATTCATTGCCGCAAGCCATTTAGATGAATCTACACAAGATATAGCTTCTTTGAAAGAAGCAGGCTCAATTTCTTCTGAAATTTCTTGTGCAACGGCGAGAGCATACGCAACAAGCTCATCATCTCTATATCGAGCAGGTTTTTGTATAACTCTCCTTGGCCGATCTCGAGCCAAGATATAATCTTGTGGCACTTGAGGTGGCATTTCCTCATTTTGAACTTCACTAGGATTTAACTCTAGAGAAGATAGATGGGTAGGTGAATCTTGTTGTTCGAACTCCACCTTGTCTCTTGGAGTCTCAAGATTTTCTGCATCATGGGACGAAGAAGTACCATCTTTGACAGAAAATAAGGCATCTTCATTAAATGTAACATCTCTACTTTGAATAACCTTGTGAGATTCAATACACCAAAAACGATAGCCTTTTGACTCCATAGAATATCCCAGAAATAAACACCTTTTAGCTCTTGGAGAGAGCTTACCCTCATTTACGTGATAATATGATGGGCAACCAAATATTCTTAATTTGGAATAATCAACTGGTTTACCTGTCCAAATTTCTTCTGGAATTTTATAATCCAACGACTTATGTGGAGAACGGTTGATTAAATAACAAGCTGTTGCTGCAGCTTCTGCCCATAAATCACGTCTATGCCATAAACCTGCATTTGACATCATACACCGAGTCCTTTCGAGAATTGTTCTGTTAAGTCTTTCGGCAACACCATTTTGCTGAGGTGTTTTA